GTGCGGCTTCCATATGAACACTCCTACAATTACCAAACATGCCTCCATTACGTCATAATTGAGTCAGTGGGCCAAATTTTGACCACCATATGGAACACTGAACACTATCATAAGGCATCAGGGTGCCACCATAAGGGTATGAGAATTACCCCGACGTACTGATGCATCGCATGTGCACGCACGACTAATTGGCTGGTTTTTGTTCTATTTCTAGACGGGTCGTCTCCATCATAACATGCCGTCCTTGTCCGTTTTTAACTTTCATTAACACTAATTACGATGGCCGACTTGTATTCTTCGTCGAGGTTAAATTAATAAATTACAAAGACGTTTTTACGCTGCTGTAAGTTAAAGCAGTTATAAGCCACGCGATGCAAAACATTAAAAGAATTGTGCAAATATAAAAATGAGTTTCTTTGGCTTTTAAACTTTATTACGTTGGAGGGCACCCTCCAAACATTAAGAAACAAAAAATTCATTATGACAAAAGATGAAAGCGTATTTTTAATTTTAACTTAATGAGACGAGAAGACTTGAATTACATTAATGAAATCGCGAATAAATATAATGATGAAGAAGTCCCACTTTACAGTCTTGAAGTAAACATATAAAACTCAAACAAAAAYAACTTTCAGGTTTGTTAGATGTATCGATGGAACGTTGGTCTATCGTAGAGAAACTTTCAAACTGTACAACACTTGCAAATAACAATTRGTGTTTCGCGTGTGGATAGCATATCAGATYAAACAGAAACACACTGGATCGACTTGGAATAAATAATAACTATCAAAGTCAAAATCAAAAAAAGGTCTTAGTTTAAAAAAATGGTTGGTAGAACTGAAAAAAGCCGCAAAAAGTATTTTTTGAAAAACTACCCAAAACGCAGTAAAAACTTCAATGAAAACTTTCTGTAGAAAGACTTATTCGCTTCCCAAGATAACCATCCTGTTACTACATTATTTTTTAAAATTGGGGAAATATCCATTTTATAAGATTGTGACCACATTTATAAAATAACTTATTCAAAATTCCGTTTTCTTTGTAAAAAAAAATGATTCTTGAAATCCGTCACACTTTTTAAGTAGTTTATTTCTCATAATTTTCCTAAGAACAATAGGTAATTTTTGTAAACTATTTAGCCTGCAAAGTTATAATYACTGATTTWAAAAAAAAGACAAAAAGCAAGCGCCTTTTGACCAAACAACAATACTTATTCTTTTATAAATAAGAAATATTCCGAATCAAATTTCTCCCTTTCCACAGCCCGACGCTCCCATCCAAACCGCTTTTAATTTAATTCCGAAACTCAATCGACATTCCTGCTCTCCCACGCCCAAAAAACCAAGAAAAACACCTTTGAAATAACACCGATTCTATACAAAATTTCGTCTTGCTTTAAAAACATTCCGTATGTGTATATTGGAAGTAATGGAAGTCACTCAACATCAATTTCTAATCGCGGCCATGCAAGTGTATTCGAAATTGTTTGTTTAAAGAGGGGTCTTTGATGAAACACCAGACTCGACTGCTGTTCCGTGGCAATGATTAAGGGGGCGAGACCGGCTAGACGCGGTGTTTTTTGAACGCAGTAGCAACAGCAGCCACTTTACTAAATGAAGATGGCCTTGGCTCTAAACCGGCGATGCAGTTATGCATTTGACGCGGCCGCTGCATAGGTCAAAGATTCCCCGCCATTACCAAGAACGTCCGACTTAAAATATGGCGATAATTTTACCATTGGCAACTCGTATAAGTACATATTTCAAGCGAAATGGGCGGGCCAACGCGGAGAAACGCTCCTTCTTTTTATGCAAAGACCGTTTGCTGCACTTTGGATTCCTCAATAAAGAACTTCAACTGATTTACAAATAATATTACAAGAAATAAATAAATAAAGAGAAAAAGAAGAAAAGATTTCTTATTGAACTGGAAAGAGGCTTCAAGTGTCTTTTTTTATCAGAAATATTAAACCTTAACATTGGTACGACTAGCAGATTGATTCGTGGTAAAAAGAATAAGTTAGCAGTCCTAATTTTTTTATTTATTATAAAAAAAAATGTAGGTATTTAAACTTAAACAAAAAAGCGATTAAAACATATTACAGACGAAAACCCAAAAAGAAAGATAAATTCAAAACTCCTAACTGCGAAGAGTTTTTGGATAGGAGAAGGTTATCATCTTATAAAGTCCTATGGAAAATAGTTTTTCCTATTCAARTGGAATGAGGTCTAGGTTTGTCATGTTGGTTTGTTTTTTGGAGAATAATTCCTGAGCTATTGGTGGATGCCCATTACAAGTGCTTTCAAAGAATCAAAATTTTAAAAACATGACAAAATCTAAAATTTGAATATCGGTCCAAATGACAATTTAAAGATCTTACTTGCGTCTAGAAATGACAGACCTATCTTATCAAATACCAAACGGTTTTGTGTTTGAGACCAAGAAGTTCACCACGACGTTCCGAAAAAAAATAATTAGCGTCCAGCAAAATCCAATAAACATTTTTTCTTATTGGCTCGGATTGAGGTCTAGGTTCGTCCTGTTGATGTTGGTTTGAATTGTTACTTACAATCCCGGGTGTCGCATCGAACATCATCATGGGTGTATAAACAACCGATTCATTCATTTAAGTAATCCGATGCACATCCAACGCGACATACAAACACAAACACACTCGTAGATAAATAACATCAATTGAGACCGACGACATAAAAACACAACCATAAATATGTCGTGCAATTACCGACAACATAGACTGGATGTAGTTGGTGTTTCAATTGCATCGACTGTGTTACGCACGCACTCACATGAGACTCTGCTTTTGGTTGCCTCCATGCCCGAATAGATATGCCCTCGAAAGCATGTATGCATATGGTCTCAAGGACACCAAGCCTAGGCGCGTCCTCTGAAGATAAATAAGGCTCTAATTGGCCCAATCCTCGAAGGACAGGGCAATTGCCTTTATGAATGGTGCAAATGAGGGAAATTTGGCGAAATATGCGCTTTTGGTCTAGCGTTCGCGCCAGCCTATATTTATTTGTAGACGTTATCCATGTGTAAATGTATTTTGCAGCCAGACTGAAGTAAACACGACTATGCAGGGCAATGCATCAATCCAAGGTTAGTGTAAATAAACGAGGCCTGCACTGTGCCATGKGTTATCTTTGTTTAATGCATGAGTTTTATTGGGAACTATGGCTCTCCTCCGGATACATATTTATTAGTAGGTCGGAGAGAATGACTCCCGGATTATACACCGGAAAAATACACCAAATTTAGACGTCTACGATGCGAAATCGGCAAATTCGGCGAAAATAGATAGCACAAATAAATTCAAAGTCAAAAAATAGTAAATGTTTGCTTTTTAATTTATTTTTATTTAGCTTGGCACTGATTCACTTGAACAATTTTTGACCCATTTTAATTATGACAATATTTATCAGATGTAATCTACAAGGAGATAGCAAAAGTCAATTTATTTTGCTGTAATTAGAGTGCTGAAAAGTTAACACAAAAATTTCTTCAACAACTGCTTTTCTAGAGCAAATGTTGAACAATTCTACTTGAACCATTATAATTTATTTAAATTTTATAACAAATGTGAATACAAAAAGTTAAAAAACACGATAATTGAACAGAGAAAATTAGTTTCTTTTCAGCAATCGTTACTATTTTTCAAAAATAGATCGCAAATTTTTTTTGCTAATGTTTCAATTAAAAACAATTTAAAATTGTAGTTCTCGAAAAAAAGAGGCTTGAGGCGTCAAAATGAAACATGATGCAAGGCATGTTTTAGCTAGGTAAACTAACACCCTAATTATAGAAAAATGCAACCATTGTGTAGATTTTTAAAACGTGATAAAATCATTAAAATTATCAAAAATAAAAATTCAATTACTTTATTTATTTTTAATAAATTTAATGTTTAAAAAAAACAATGCATTGTTAGAAAAACGATAGAAAAACCTTCCACTTGGTTTCATCTTCCCACAATAAAAATGTTCTTGTTATTATTATTTATTATTAAATGTATATTTATTATTACAACATCCACATTTTTTTCATATGATAATTAATTTTCCAATTATGTTCAATGCATTTTTTGACCGAGAATTACTCGTGGTGTTTTCAACAAGTATTTTATAAACTTTCAATTTTTTGAAAATAATTGAGCCTCTGACATGTTAGATACAAAGTAGAATCAACTAAAATAAAACTATCAGAAAAAACGAAAGACTACTAATTAACAGACAATAGGAATAATTCCAAATTCTTAGGCAAACCATAAAGTTTTATAGAGCTATTAAAGACAAAAACCTATTAATTAGGAGAAAATTGACTGATATAAAGTTAAAAATGTATCTTAAAGATTGATTAACCCTTGATAGAGAATGAATTTGATCAAAACTGAAACACTTTGTATCCCCTGAGATATTCCGAGAAAACAACTTTACCTAATACCTACACAAGTTAATTTTGTCCTTGCGCTAAAAATAACAAAAGCTCAAATAACTTGTTTTCAAAATATTTACCCTTTCCTATACTTATCACCAACACAATGRTATTAATATTACACATGATATTAAAGAAACACATCTTTCACTTTCATTATTCTAAATTACTACACCAACAAAATGTCAAATTTATTAACTCGGATGAATATAATCATTTAAAGCCCTGATAATCCTCAAACACCACCATCAAGTAAGCTGTGTTTGTTAATAAACGCACCAAATATCATCAATTAACGTCCCAACGAATAAAAAATTATCCCTTCAACATGAATGCCTTTATCTTGAATAAATGATRTTAATTAAGTGTGTTTTTCAGTCTAATTTACAAAATTTCAGGTCTTTTGATGTTTATCGATTCGCAAAACGTAAATAATCGTACTATCAAAATTGTTAATTTATTGTTGACACTTTGCGTCGGTGTTCCACCACACCCAAGTTTATGGCCCTACTATCAATGGTAACCGAGTTACTGTTGACATTTGTCAATCAAGAAAAGTCAAATTTTTCCAGAAATGAACAAAATCGAGAAACTCATAGGGAAATTATTTACGAAAATTGCTGAAATTGAACGAGTTAAAAAGTTTCTAGTCAAGTATAAACCCGAACGACCCATGAAATTTCCTTATACATTCTCTGCGAAAATTGCACAGTTTCCGTTTAGGTATTTGTATGAAAATAACAGATTTATCAGATATTATCCACATGCTGTTGTCTTATCGATCCCTATTTTCTATTATTTTCATCGCTTGGGTAAGTTTCTGAGTTCATTCAGTGTGGACAACTTGATAAAAAAACTTCCATTTCAGCAAACTCGCCAGCGAATAAACAAAAATGGGCCGAAATCCGTCGTAAAGAACGAGAAAAGGTTCACTATCACTAAATATCTTCCATTTTCTCATTATATTAGCACAGTAATAATAATGAAATAAAGTGGAAGGTAAACAAGTTTTTCCCTCCCCAAAACTATATAAATTTTGTTACTTCTGGAACTATAAAAGCCTGCTTCATAATAAAATAGATCAACAATTCTGAAGAGGGCCAGCACAAAGACAACATTGTAGATTCATTGAAAACGTCGAGCAAACACACAGAAGCACTTAACACGATTTGCCTCTTACAAAGCTTCTAAAATAAAACTTTTTCCCTCCAACTCGTGATTATTTATTTCGCAGGAAGGATCCAGCGGATATATTAGACTTACGTTTATATTTCGAAACAAAATGTTGCAAGATGCGCGTGTTTATACATAGGGGGAGACACTCCGGATGCATTCTCACCGATAAGATACGAGGGAGTCGTTTGTGATAAAGTGCAGACGACGAAAATGTGGACGTCAAAAACGGAAAAGTCGTGATGTGATAGGGTTTCGTTTTCGAACACAAACAGCGGAATTTTTTTTGTTAGCGACGTAAAATTTGCACGTAAGGTCAAACAACTCGAGAATGAAGAATGCAATGTTGTGCGATGCTGACTTGTCAATTACTTGAACTGAAACTCGGACGATTGATGAGAAGACATAAGAAAGCCTCATTATCATATAATATGATTTACATGTAACATAAATTGGAAAACATTGATGGATSGTTGCAGTACTTCCCGCAAGGCGGACGAGTACAGCTGCGATCGCAAAAAATTAGAACCTTGCAATATTAGGATTTTTTCACGTATTTGCTTTAAAATTTCGGTCTCCGAGACAAGAATTTGACACTTGAGAGCCAAAAAACTCAAAAATCAAGTTTTATCCGCTAGCATCGACAAATCATCAAATCATCAAATTATGAAGGTATTTTCATAAAACATTAAATTCTTGATTCTACAAGTTTGGTATAGAAAACTTGGTCCAATCTGTATACCTAAGCAGTTCTCCAGGAGCTCTCAAATTAAATGCTTAGTATACAAGTGTACACTTTTATTAAAACAATCAATAACATAAAAAATGACGGATATCTTTGGTTTTTGAAAAATTCAAAACAGTTTATTACTAAGCATAAAGTCTGTTTTTTCTTTAAATGTAAATTACCAAGTCAAACTTTTGGTGAAAAAATTGGTAGCATCTCCATCGCCACAAACTTTGTTTGCTTTTTGTTTTAGTCCCTAGAAATTTTGTTAAAAAATTATGATTATGTTGTCAAAATTTTCACTTTTATGAATCTTGTGTGCTTGTTTGCTTTTTGTAAGCCTTTATAATCGAATACCTGAGGACAGACATCACTACCTAATGTCCAAAGACAGAATTCAGTGCTAATAATATTGATAGAACCATACTGTAAGTACAATGTTGTGGACAAAAATGAGCTTACTACAAAAACTTAAATAAAAAAGGGTGTCTATACAAAAAAAAAATGCAAAAGATACAACAAGGTTTATGAAGATCTGCATTAAAATTTGAGTAATTTATTGAAATGAGCTCAATGTTGATGCATTTTCTAAATTCTAAATTGTTACTTTTTCAACTCGTCCTTCAAAAACGGTGCAACCAGACCTAACTAGTTTAACTGCGTCCTTTCTTTTTGATGTTTATATTGTATTCTCATCAATTTCTTACTAAAAATTAGAGAACGTTAGCAAACCTGCATTACAAATTGCTTCTAAAATTTTAGCGGTGGTCTTTTTCTGATTTCTGCTTGCACACTTTTCGTCTTCAAATTTACAAAAATTGTTTGCGGTACCCAATTTGTCTCCGTTTTCGTGTTTTCATTTCTAAATTTTTTGGTGTTTCGTCTCTATATTTTCTTACACGATTTTTTTGCTGACGTTTAATGACATTTTTTTTTTAATTAAATCAAAAACTCAAACTGCCAACTTCCTTTATTAAAATTACCATGAATGAATTTGTTAGGGGTGCCAACCTTCAAACTGTTTTGCATCCCCATTACAAAAAAAAAAAAAAACAACAGACTTTACTTCTTTTTGCTCTTTGTCAGAGTTCAACTGTCATAAAACAAAAGCATTTCAAAGCCCTTTGTCGGTGTTTTTTTTACCAAAGAGACAGAAACTAAGAAACAATATTCTTTTTGGGAAAGAAAGATCAATTTTCTCATACTAATAAAATTTTGTATGTACATACAAAGGTTTTCCCTTGGCATTTTAGATAGGAAATAAATAAAATACCTACAGCTATACAGCGTGCGCCAGAACTCGCGCCCCAGAGAAAATTTTCAAGTAAGGTAATATACCAGGAACATGAAAAAAATGTTTAAAAAATTTTATCTGTCAAAAAATTTTGACATTTAGTTTTTGACATTTGACATTTTTTTATATCTATTTAATGATACTGATGATCTCGTATATGTTTTTTTTTACAATTATTTAGTAACGGGACAAAAATTTTGCCAATAAAAGCCTCAAATAACATTGAACAGAGTTACAATTTAGGATACAGCTTCCTTGTTTCCTCTTTTAATAGCCTATAGCAAAAAAACTTGGAAAATTATTTTTCCAACAGAAATAAATAGAGTCAAAGTGCAAACTTTAAAGCCTCATAACTTCGAAATTTTTATAGATAAAATTTTTTTAACATTTTTTCCATGTTCCTGGTATCTTACCTTATATGGCATTTTTCTCTGGGGCGCGAGTTCTGGCGCACCCTGTATGTATAGTGGAGAGTTCGGGTGAAGAAACAACAGAAAAAAGTTTGTAAAAAAAGTTCTGATCAAATAAGAAAGACATTGCTGGTAGTCACTTTTGACATTTTTACACAAAATTTATTATTATTTCAATTGATATTTCAGCCAAATTTGACATTTGGTCACAAAAGTTTTTCTGATTGGATTTTCAAAATTTTAAATTTGAGCTAATTGCAACACTGAAAATAGGTCATGTGAACAGATATTTTGAAAAGGAAGAATTGGTTGCATATCAAAAAACGATTTTCCTTCCTGCATGGCCATTTTATCAATTCTACCTCAAAATCGCCCTCTCTAATTGCAACCATCTGTACGTCGATTTCTTTTTCGGCATATCGGCAGCGCAGCGTCCAAACCACAAAGGAATATGTGGGTTAGCCGTATAAATAAATCAGAGCGTCGGGACGCTTGGTTTTTTTCAGTGTGGAGCACGCTTTCCAGATTTAGACGGACCTCCCAACTGCCCACCCATAATTTACGCCACAGTTGGCGCTCTGCGAACGTTTTGTTTACGCCGGAATGATTAACAGACGGAGTCGAATGACAGTGCGGCATAGTCCCGACCTACGCCAACAACTGCGAAGATGAGCGATATAAAAATAGTAATGCTTTCGATTGAACGAAGGAGGAGACCCTCAAGAGGGTCGATGGAACCCTAGAGAGAAACGTTTCACTGGCAGGACGCCCGAGACTGAATGCGACCGAGCTATTTATAAATTAGCTGCACTTTATACATTCCAGATGCATGCCATAATGAGGTTACAAGGACCGGTCTTGACTTTGTCGATTTTACGAGACGAAATCAAAGTCTGAGAGACGACTTTTAGAACCATAAATGGAAACCTTTGAAAAAACGCGACGTCACTATGCGTAAAAGGATTTGGTAGAAAGGCTTCTTCTTAAAGACATGTCTATTATACTCGAATCCTCTAAATTATTAAAATTTTCTGTTTCCATTAAAACCCGATATTAACATACGAAACGGTTCGTTACTTACAAGGATACCCCTCCACATCGATCGCTTCATTATTGCCCTTTGTTCCTTCAAACTGGAGCAAAGTCATATCCTGAAACGCTTCAACCAAAATAAATAAATAAACACGATTATGTCGCATGTTTTCAATCGCATCGCGATGCAATTATTGGCGCATGCAAGCAAAAACGATTTATTTTTAGCAACTTCCAGGCCAGTGCACCATCTGTGTCGTTTAACTTGAACTTGCCGATAAATATTGTATTTAACACGAATCATAAATAAATATAAGAGATGTTTAATTTGTTTTTAACCGATCGAACCCTTGAATCAAGCCAGACGTGTGTAAATAAGCAAGAGATAAGAGGACGACAGAGTGGAGTTACATTTCCTGGCGAAATTTTTAATTAGATCCGTTTATTATGTTAGTAGTGGTATGGGCTGGTCTTATTTCCTCCGACTTATCAGCTTGTTTATTGTAATGTGGGTTATCGCGCTGACCTGTCCTAATAAACATCAAATAACAACTCTATTTTTGTTCTCCGGCTAAAACGAAATCGGCCGATAACACCAACTTACTTCCCACGTTCATCTTCCACAAAGTGGGATTTTTTCAGAACACCTGACAGACACAAACACCGCGATGTTCATAACTATCTTTTTTTTTTATTAAAAAAATGCCTCACAAGAAAAAAATAAGTTACAGAAGAAATGCCTTTAGAAGTATATAGCCTTATTTTCTTGTACTCTGCAGCTATAGTCAGGGAGAAAAAGTCGCTTTACTGCACCGTTTATAAATTCGAAATGGGAAAAACGTAAAGTTCGATAGTTTATTTTTACCAAGCGACGTTATTGACCCCGAAATCGTGGCATAAACTAGTTAAATTTGCCGACACGAAGCGATCGCTATTGAAATGGAAATTGATTGGCCTAGAAGACGGACGAACTATTTTACTTATTGAATCTGTTTCCTGCGGTGCGTGGGTCGAATAGAACCTCAGCAGGTGACTTGTGCAGGAATCCACCACCCACTCTTTGGCGTATGACCAAATCGATCGGATCAATCCCCCCGTTAAAACAACATTACTTGTTCTCGAATGATTTGCGTCACTTTTTTAATGATGCTGTCGGATTAGATGTCGCCATGCTGTTATTAATGCGCAATATTAAATCATTTTCTTTCATCAAAAAAAAAAAAAACGTCGCTTCCAACTCAATTACAATTTCCATCGGCCTATTCGACAAAAATTAATTTTCGTTTAATTAAAAACAATTGTTGCAGAGTGAAAAAAATGCCTTGACACGACCAAATAAACGATATCAAAAGGATATCTCGGTGAAGACCACCCTCGGTGTTAGCCGAGCGAAACAATTAATTGCGCGAAGGCTTCAAGAATGAATCTAATTAAAAGAGYGGTGACATTTGAGAAAGTTATTGAGGGTTCAAGGACTAAAGGGTGAGACTTTTCATGGGGTAATAATAAGGTTACGATGATGTGTATAGGTATACACGGACGTTAAAAATACCAACAATAACGAAAACCATTGATCCACCCACGGGACACCCAAAATAAAGTTATCGGGCGGGAAAAAAATAGGCGACCTGATTCGGCACACGGCATGTGAATTGCTTTAAATGGAAGATATAACAAAAATACCTATCTAAAAAATAGGTTCTTCTTTTACTTATAATACTTCCTTAATTTTCTTCCAGCAACTGTACAGCCTTGATACAAAGCACAACAAAATTAATTTACAATGAGTGGCAAAATTGAAACTATTTTGTTTTGACAAAAATGTTCAAACAGGTCAATTTTCTTTTTAAAAAACACAAAGTTTCAGCTTGATTTAAAACTGTATGTTTGTTTTTATTGATATTATTTCACTTTTTGGATGATTTTGTTTTTGAAAACTTTATGTAATATTTAATATTTTGGTGTTATCATTTCGACAATTAAAGATCTGTCAAAACGGCTCCAAAAATTAGGTTTCCATTTTAAAAAAATGTTGATGACGTCATTACTAATGAAACCAAAAAGTGTAAAATCTTAAATCAAGTTGAAAACTGTGTATTTTTTAAAGAAATTTGACCTGTTCAAACATTTTTTGCCAAAACAAAATATTTTCAGTTTTACAAAGGAACTCCCATAATAAGTCGAATATCAAGGAACGCAAAAAAAACTTCGAGTTACAGACTTCAAAATATGTATAATTTGCCGTCACAGGACTCGCATTTTTATTCGAGTTATTTTTTCCTCAATTTTAAACACCTTTTGAAGCTTGTCTGTTTTAGCCATTTGAATTTAAAAGTAAAATAAAAAAATCGTCAAATAGTAAAGGCCACATGGGTTCACATAATTGTGATGACAGTAGGATTCTATTGCAACCAATTTGACCTCAAAAATGAGGTAGCAATGTTGCCGTTTGCAAATAAACTGTCGCTTTTCATTTTTTTTTCTCTTTTAAATAGAGGGTTCTCAAATAATTTGTCGCTAAAACTCCAGCTGTTATAACAAATTCTTTTTTAAACTTAAAATTTTTTGAAACCTACAAGCTTGTCCAGAACTCGCGCCCCAGAGAAAAATGCAAAGTAAGATAAGATACCATGAAAAAAATGTTAAAAAATTCTATCTAAAAAAATTTTGAAACTTAGGGAAGTTAACATTTTGCACTTTTACCCAATTTTTTTGTTAAAAAAAAATGTAAGTGCATGTTTTTTTGATGCAGGCTATTAGAACAGGAAACAAAAAGCGCTGTATGCTAAATTGCAACTAAGTTTAATTAATATTATTTGTGGCTTTATTATTTGGCAAAGTTTTAGTACCTTTACTTTATGTAATAACATCTTCAAGATCATCGGTAACAATAAATAAACAAAAAAGAAGAATTTATTGACAGACATTTTTTTTAACATTTTTTCCATGTTCCTGGTATCTTACTTGGCATTTTTCTCTGAGATGCGAGTTATCACCATGTACATGATATCATAAAATATAATTATTATGTAGCCATTTAAAGTTTGCAGCAAAATTTATTCCTATGTAAAAAATAATTTTAGCAGAATTTTTTATTTTATTTTACATTTGTGACTTTCCAAAAAAAGTTGGTAAACAATTGTTTTTTAACTTGTTGAATGATTAATTTAATCATCATTGATATTAAAAAAATCTTTGCAATTAAACAATGTACTGAATCGCATGGTGACCTCATTTTTAAACTGGCTCAATTCAAGATAATTTTTATTATTGAACTAACCTTCATACATTAAAAAACAAAACAAAACCCTACAATTTTCAATATAAACAATTTAAAAATAAATACTTTGCTGCGAAACAAGATGAACAGAAAAAATATTATTTATGTATAGGTAACACTAATAAAAAGACAAGTCATTAACCTATTTGTTGTCACTGTCATTACCAAGCCTGAAACAGTATACCTACCTATACTCATTGACAGACTATAGCACCTATCCTTGACCTGTCCAGTCTGTCTCACTACACAACTGCCTTCATCAATCATAAAATTTCATAATAAACTCCTTTTTAGCGAAAAAAAGCTGAATGTTATCTCTTAATTTCGCAGTCTTTTTCAGCACCTGTTACCATTTTCATTAATCATTCATTATAGGTAATCATTTTGAATCCGTTTAAATCCGCTCCTCCGGCTGAAGGGCTGCATTGAGGTCTCGGCTCTCTCGTCCGAGAAAGAGAATAGAAAAATGTTCGAGAGGCTGGCGTCCTTGTTACTGGGTCAAACGTTGTCCTCGTTTTCACTGGCGGTCCAAAGCAAGTTGTGCAAGTACTAAAATCGGCCAACGAAAGTGAACATATCATTGTCCACTTGGATTACTCAATAATGCGTAAACATATGTCGGGGACGTCTACAGCTCCAAGAAAGGGGCACTGACGTTTTCATTTTGGAGCCCCCACATACTAAAGTGGGCCACGGGGCCATCGACCAGTTAGTTCTCCTAATTGCATACGAAGGGCACGACAAGCCTCACATTCGGCGGTTGTGTGATTATTATTAAACATTATTAAACATTAAATAAATGCAACCGAGTATTTTCCTCTTGAATTGAATATCAGTGACCCTCGTACTATTGATTTTAATTATCGAACCGAATGTTTATTTAAAACAGTCATAAATAATACAATCAGAAGTGTTTACTTCCAATCACGGCTCTTTGTACGTTCCTATTGTCAAGACAATTAATGTAGGACCGATATTCGACTCAATTAAGAACTTATTCAAACAAACACCAGAGTTTATCAAATAAAAATTTTTGCTAAAGTGTCAGACATGAGTAAAAGTTATTAAAACGATCTTATTTATTTATTTAAGCTAATGTTTCCATGTCATTTCGACTATAAACAACATAAATGTACTCAGCAAACGATGTAGAAGCCAAGCTTCTAAAATAAGTCTGACATTAGTGCTTAAAGTTCACTTTCGGTGCAATAATTGACAAATAAATTATACAAGCAAATAAATATTTTCAAAACAATTAAACTGTATAAAAAATATTTCTTCTATTATCTGCAAAACATCTAATCAACTAGAAAAGCGAAAATTGTATTAAAACCTCACAAAATTTCCAATTTAATTTGTGAAAACAGCCTATTCACAGAAATCATTACTTTCTAAAAAAACCTGTTTTTATTAAAAACCTTTTTCGCGCTAGTCCTACTTTTCATAATTATACATAAATTGGCAAGTTGCTTGAAAAATACTTAAAAATAAATTACTTTCTGGATTTTTTTGAGTCAGAAATAAATTGCTATTGTCGCAATCAATTTTCAACTCTAATAAAAATAAGATGACGTGTGTCGATTTTTCGTAGACTGAATAATTATTGATCAAGGTTGTGAGGTTGTTAGCACAACTACATCATAAAATTATTTGAAGAAAACAAATTTAATTTTTGTTTATCTTTGGTTTCTAWCAATATTCAGTCACAATTTGAGAAAGGTGTCAATTATTTTAGATCAAACACTGCGCAGGAAATTTCCACTAATTAGTACAATTCCCTTAAACCAACGATCAGTTTTGGATGATTCAAAGATGTAATAATTTTTCTGGTACAGTGTCTCAGGACAATAATAATGATTAAGGTATCTTAAATAAATAAAATTAGAATCAACTTTTCCGTCCCGATAAAACTCTATTTGCTAAAGATAACTTTTGACATTACTTCGACGTTTCATCACCAGAAACAAGGCATCAATATCTCGATTAATTCTTCCTCATACTTGAATATCAATGTAAATGACTATTTTTGGCAATTTAAACCATATCACGATTGAAGCACAACCTCACCTTGATAAAAGATTAATCTGCGATCTTCCAGACAGTTTGAAATAAACAACCAAAAATGATGAATACCTTTAGGGCAATTATGCAAATTTTCTAAAATTTATGCATGATAATTTAAGTTTAAAAACAGCTCGGATCGATACTAGGACAATAGACATTTCAGATAGGAGTTTAGGTTAATGGCTTGCAGTTACCACGAACCGCGTTAAAGCGGAAATTCTTCCAAGTTAGAAAGTTAGAAAGACAAAATTTTGAAATTAAAAAAAAAGTCAAAGATCAACAGAATTTTCCTCTAATTGAATGAATGACGCCAAAATATTTGCCAGTTACATCACCGGCACTGACGAAAAATCTACGCTCCTAATTAAACTTAAGGAAGAAACCTACACTTATCAATTATCATTCATTTCTTGTTGTTATATTTGGTCTTGGCCCACTTTTTTATTTTTTCGGCCCGCTTCTATTGTCCGGTAATAATTTTAAAAGCGCTATAAATAATGAGAGGCCGACTCTGGGCGAGTTTTTCTCTGTGATAATCGTTTTGGGCCGGACCTACGCGAACATAAATCATGATGTGAACTTCCCCTTTATCAAACCAGCACTAGTAGGTCATGATTTGCATGAATTCGAGCTGATAAGAGCCTTTAAACAGTTTCGAATTGATGTCATCAACGATTCGGACAAATTTGCTGTCATGGTGGGTGTATGATTCTTACCTGTTTTGGTGACGATGATACACAACCTCTTGAAACAACAGACGCAATAACTATACGAAATCACAAAAATTAAGCGCTAAACGACTATTAAACACTATCTGGTGGGTCTCGAGGGAATGGTTCCACTCAGGTCAGCTTTCCATCATGCAAGGCACCCTGCAACGAAAACACGATTATTACTGAACTCGTAAATATTTGAACAACATGCATACTATCAAACAGTGATAACCAGTCGCGCTTCCCTGACATAAAATCGAAAAAAACACTGGAATTAATTTCGCAGCTTGACAATGAAAACAAGTACATTTTAGGTCAGCGCTCTATTATCAGATAAAGCTGATAATGTCGCCGGTGTACGGCATTGGTCCCCATGCAGAGCGCTGAGGCACGCCGGAGCGTTGCCCACCGAAACTTCACATACCYTAAAAGAACAAGTTTGAGTGTTTGTATTGTGGTAGTCCGGTGGAACGAACGATCGTTAACGTAAAGTGGGACGGTGTTTCGATCGAGGTCATGCGGGTGTCGTTGATATTTTACAAGTTTCACGTAATGCGGGTTCTTAATTTTTTCTAATATCCGAATATTTCAGTTTTACAACGTCGTTTAATAAGTAACACAGGTGCTTTATTAAGATTACATTTCTGGATCATGGAAGGCCGCAAGCCACACGGAACACGACAATCAATTTCGTGGAAACATGCGTGGATTACAGTGACCTCAAAAAAAAAAAGAAATAGCGCTATTAAGGGTCAACACGCCAAAAGTACTCACTTTTCAGAAGGCTAGACACTGAACGAGACACTGATGTACAGATATCTACACAMYGCAGTGGACAACCCAATAAATGGTCAATGGCCTTAACCAATTTGGTTGCAGTTTACGTCGAATTACCCAGATTTATTGAAATAAATAAACACTAATTTTCCTCATTATCAGTCAACACTGTAGTCTTGTGAGTCATAGAACTTCTCAAAAAAGAAGACAGTTAAATAAATAAAATTAAGAAAACATACCCACACTTTTGAATCTGGAAATACACATACATTTTAACTAAACGTACAGAAAAAAGAATATAAGTTTTAAACCGCGCAAACTGTGGTAGAAGATGTTTTAGTTATTGTAATTTTCTTCAGCATCGAGTTTGTAATAAGTAAAAATAATACCAAATTTGGGTGATATTTTTTACTATAACAGAATTTTATTGGTCGCCTTTATTTGTAGGCAACTGTGCAATTCAAGTGTACAACTTTTCATTGCCAACTTAATACAGATAAGTGAAGTTTGTTATGTAGTAATTGCAGGGTCGAGAGACTCGACCTGGTCACGCTTCAGCAAGTWTTCAGCTTACGGCTCGATTACACCCTGAAATCCTCAACTTGATAGAGGCACCTTATTATTCATGATTCTGGAAACCGTCAGTACGTATGCCTCCGTTTGACGTGCATTAAAACAGGATGTAATTATCTTATTACATCGAGTTGATTAAACCGAGCTCTCTTTTGATGTTTTTGAGACGTCTTTACATATTAATGACCTCTATATACATTGTGTAATGTCTACGAGACAAATTGGATGCTTTAGTCAACATACAAACCCTCCTCGAGACCTTCCAAAGGTGTGTCTATAATTAAGGATATTGTTTCGTTACAATGAGGGTAGGATCAGGAATGTCTTCTATAATTATATAGAATATTTTAACATTAATAAAGAATATTTAATTACAACCAGACGACTTTCATTAAATATCTATATGAACAACGCATAATTTGTACACGTTATTAATAAAAAAAGACGGAATGTTGGATGCGACTCAGGCYCAAAAATTGGCAATTAGTGACTTTGACCAAGTGAGTGTGAAGTCATTTACGTCCATCAGGAAACACAAAGTTGGAACAAAGCCACAAAAATGATCCAAATCATCTAAATCAAATTTCAAAATTTAAACACAAAAAATTGCGAAATAATAGTTTTCACATTGTGGTTGAAAAGATACCACAAATTCGTCAATTGTTGTAAATCTTCTTCACTTGGCTGAATTTTTTCAGTTTTATAAGATCCACACTTGTTTTCTAGCGTTAGCTCCTGTTAAAAAAATTTTCAGTCCGTCATGTGACGGTCTCCCAATTCTTTCAGCACGACTTTATTTCTGAAACCAAAAGTGTTAAAACTGGAAACACTGAAAAAATGTAATGATTTGTGTTCTGCAAAGGCAGCGCAATGTTCTCCTATAACCAGCTGTATGTTGTGTCTAGTTACCGAACAATTTTGGCATGCTCGCAGTTCAGTCTAATGCACCCAATGTTGTGTCTTTCGGCATGCACACGTAATGCAACAATGCCCCCCGGTCTATTTCTAGTGTAAAAGAATGCAAATAGCTTACGCCACTAATTTAAAACTTTCATCCTCAAAATAAGAGTCCGACAATCTTATCTAAATTCGTTGACCCAATTTTTTTAATGGCAACCAAAGATAAAACCGCTGCCGCCGTCGTTTTTGATAATAATTTTTCGAGGACCATTGATAATAGCGCACCCACCGAATCGMATGTATAATCGGTGCATTTGGTGTCACCCAGGGCGCCTCACATCTGTTACACAATTCGTCCTTGCTCCGTCCCACGTTTTCGTTAACATTCATTACGGTCTGTATTGCAGAGGTCACAGAAAAATTCCATTTTTTCCAATTTAGATTTTATTCATGGTGGCGGACATCCGAGGTATCAAGGCCAATGTCGAAGGGGGAAAATTTTAGGGTTCAAGTTGGACTCGTGTTCGTCGTTATTTGAGGATCGATATTGCGGCGAAGTCGTTCGCATGTAAATAATGTAGAATTGAATCGATAAAGCGGCAATGCCCCTGTTACACGTAGAACAATTGACATAATTCCAAGTTGGACGCTCACCTAAGGTCAGACATAGAATATTCCCTCGATAAAAATTCAGGAAGTTTTCGAATCATTTGATCGGAAAACCGACAACGCAACAATTCACTCGTGCAAACCACGTGATTAACAGATTCTTGTTGCAAAAGAATTTGCAATAATTGCAACTAAGCATGACATCAGCTTACAAGAAAATAAAACAAATTGGTAAAGCATCGTGAAATCAAGAGAAAATTCTTGCATTTTTGCAATTCCTCAAATCCGACACTGTGAAGCATTTTCCGGCCCTCTAAACTCATTGCTTCTGCTCGAAGAGGATTTTCCGCTTTGCATATCTTGAATCGACCGTAAAGATAACTCGAGATGTTACAACGGTTTTCTCCCATCACCTTCCTTATTATGCTTGTTCTGAAGGTCTTTATTAATTCACAAGGGAAACATTTCTGTATTTTCCACTCTTTTCTTATTTCGCTCACTTCTTTCAACGTTTGGAAAACATCAAAATTGTGTCTCATCTAAAACTGACTTTTTTTTAGATTAATGCGAGATCATCCCTAAACGTTCGCATCAATTTCTCATCTTTCTTTTAGTGTTTTTTTGACATGGTGATCAGTAGGATTGACAGAAACAATCACTTCTATTTGTTTACGAAATTTAACAGAATTTAAAAATCATCTGCATTTTTAAAGATAAAATGTTGATAAAAAATTATAATAAAACTCGAATTTGGAAAAAACACGTAATGACCTAAATTTATGCATATACTATTGTAACATTTTATCCAAATCAACTAATTTAAATAATTGGTCTAATTCAAATCACTAAAACTAATCAAAACCAAGTGCTAAAAACGCCCACATTTTCCGGCGACAAAGGTTTTAGATTTTTTCTATTTTGTTTCACTCCAATGTTTTAAACCCACTTTTATAAACCAGGTAGAAAATTAATTAAGTATTCGTAATTGCCACAAAACTTTGCTTTAATATAGTACTGCTAACACATTTGTTCATATTCTGGTACTTAATTTGAATCAAGTTAGAACATGTAATTTCGAAATTTAACTCATTGCCCAAGTTGTAATTTAATCTTTGATTCTTTAATTTCTGATTTCTAATGTGTGACAAATCAAATTTTTCGTTTAATACAGGGTGTCAATTTTAAAACTTGCAATCGGCGATATCTCTAGAACTGAAAAAGTTATCGAGAATCACTCAAAACAGTTTCGGTGGTTTCTAAGGGGAATCAAAATGACATGGTAAGTGACGCACCTCCCCCACCCTTGAAGCCACAACCACCTCAAGTTGAAAATTTAAATGGCACTACTCTACTTGTGATACATCGTTGAAAAGCTCATAACAAGCACTTTTCAAAAATGTCATACAACAGTCTATTTAGTGAAGCCGTTTTTTCAATTATTCAAAAACAAAGACTTTAAATTTTCTTTTTTTTTGTTATGTTCAAGGGTGGGTGGAGGTGCGTCACTTACCATGTCATTTAGGTTCCCCCTATAGACCACCAAAACGGTTCTGAGTGATTCTCAATAACATTTTCAGTTGATCGATATTGCCGATTGCAAGTATTAAAATTGACACAGTGTATGTATGTATGTAGTTACGTGTCCTAAAAAATGTCAGTTCGGAAATTAAATTTCGATTTTTAAAAAAACTACTAAAAAATTGATTTGTCACAAACCCTTCCATAAACGAAAAATATTTTTCTGTTTTTTAAAGTCAACAAAACAATTGAAGATAACAAGTTCCTTAGAACTGTAGTCCTAAATTTTAACAAATGATTTCCAAAACTAGTCTACTATAATAAAACTTTGCTCTCTCACAATTCTTGTGTTTCGCTACATTGAGTTAATAGTTGTATATTTAAGTCTCCAGACACAATCCAAGTCCTACAAAACAATTAGGGAGTGCCTGATATCCCTGGCATCAAATCCTCTTCCTTCCGTTAACTTAATTCTTGTTCTTAAAAGATCAAGCATGAATTGTCCTTCCATCTAAAAATAARCTCTCGTGCTTCTGGCTTCCTTTCTTCGTTGCGATTGCCTTTTCCAATGAATGAACCAAAACTATAATGAATTAATTCTTCATTGGTCTCGGACAAAAATAAAAATAGTATCGAACGATCAAGGGTCATAGTACCTTCACTGCCACCATTCGTCACCGGTTGACCGCTATTGGACATTATTCAAGTATGCGTGCACGCAATTTCTTCACCCACACATCTTTCCAAACAAACATACGACATCAAATTACTTCCTTTTGATG